GGCGGGCACTGGACACCCCACTTCTATACCCACGGCGGGCACTGCCACACTGCATGTCACAGCCTTGGGAGAGGCGACTCCAAGCATCCACCCCTACTCTGTCAGCCCAGCTCCCAGTCCTCACCTGCTGCAGCAGGGTGGGGGCTCATGCCATGGCCATGTCAGGGCCCTGTGAGGCTGAGTGGCTTGTGGGGCGGGGAGGTGGGTGAGGGTCATCCACAGAGCCCTGTGATGTGGAAGTGGCCCACAAGGGGCACTGCCCTGGCTGCCGTGTTAAGGACTCAGGTGTTGGGAGCAGGGAACTGGCAGTGCCCTGCGCAGCCCAGGAAGGAGGTGCTCTCAGGCGGATTCTGATCTGCGCCGTCCACTGAGCTTCCGGGTCAAAAGCCCAAGGCGTTTCATAGGGAAGCAGTGTCTGACTCCAAGCAGCTGCGACCCCAGAGCCCCAGAGCCAGCTGAGCCTCGTACCCCATTCCCTTCCATTCATTCTGATTTAATGCCACTGAGCAGCTCGTGCAGGCCCCAGCCCTGCCTCAGAGACCACAGTCATGCTGAGGGGCCCAGCCTGGCTGCCTGAGGCCTGTGGTATGCTGGGCTCTGCCACAGTGAGGAGGAAACCAGGAGACAGTTACAGATGGGAGAAATAACCCTGAGGGCAGAAGGCCAACACCAGGGCACCAGCACCAGCCCCTGCCCGGTCCTCTGCTGAGCTCCTGGGCTGGGCCCTGCTGGCCCTGCCTGCCCCGCCACGCCTGCCCAGTGCTGGACAAGGGATGGGGCCGGGTTCTTTCCAGTTCTGTTCTGTAATGAACAGGGCAGTGGGAGGGTGGTGCTAAGCCAGGGGACATGAGAGGGCCGGTGTGCTCAACCGGAAAGTCACACCGCCCGAGGCCAAGAACCCCCAGCACCCCACCCTGGTTCATGCCCCGCCCTTGACCCCACACTACCCTCGATCGCACCCTGCCCTCGACCCCACACCACCGCCACTCTTTAAACAGTTCAGACCTGGAGCCAGAGAATAGAGGGTTCAGGGAGCCTGACCCCAGGCAGCCCAAAAGGAAAAGTGCTGGGGCTCCCAAGACAGGGTGCAGACTCTGCAAGGAGCCACTCTCAGTGCCTGTGGGCTGCAGACACCAGGGACGGGGGAGCAGAATCCCTCCCCTTGGGGGACTCCAGGGGCCTCCATAAAACCCAAGTACCCACCCTCCTGACCTGGGGGCCCTGCACCCAGGACTGCATGTTGAAAGTATTCCCTGCCCCATCCCACTGACCAAGACCCCTCCTGAGACCCTGGAAACACCCCGTGGCTCTGGGTGCAATCCTGGTCACACTTCAGGAGACTTCCAGCTGTGACACTACTGGCTGGTCCTTGGGAGAGGGGACCTGCTTTCTTAGACCTATCTCCTTGGGTAGTCACACACAGGGGTACGGACAGTGTCCACCTCACAATCCAGGGATAGAGGCCTGCGCTCAGACCCAACCGGTCTCTCGACAGTGGACAACGGATCACCTCCCCTGCCACAGCCCCAACCCAGCCCAGAGGTGACCTTAGTCTAACATCCCCCTCCTCTGCCCAGAGCTGTCACCCACAGCCCTGGGATGCTGAAGGCCAGCAGGACCACGAGGCGGCAGGCAGAGGCCGCCCTCCTATGGCTGTTAGCTGAGCAGCGACAGCCAGGCGCAGCTGCTTGCGACTGGCCCAGCCCCTCCCAGGGGACCCAGGTAACATTAGTGGGTGCTGAGCGTAGGGGGCCAGCACTGGACATACCGCCAGGAAGCTGCTGGGAAGCAGAGGTGCCAGCTGCAGCCCACCCTGACACACAGCCCGGGGGACGCTGCAAGGGTGCATTTGACAGTGCGGCTCTGAGGACGTGCTCCCGACAGGCATGTCTGTGTCACATTCCCCGCTTTGGAAGCCTCCAGACCTGGCCCTGCCCTGTGGCGAGACACCCCTGCCTGGGCAGCTGCTCACCAGTACAGGTAGTAGAAGAAGGAGAGCAGGTAGAAGGCCAGCTTGCACCAGGCCTCCTTCTGGCAGTAGCTCAAGGTGTCTGCGTTCATAACCGCTGGCGGGTCATAGGCCAGCTCCGAGCTGTCGGCCGGGCAATGGAAGTACCTGCAGGGATAGAGGACATGCGTCCAGCACCATCCATGCCACACAACCTGGTCCCCGCATGCCCAGGGTACAGTGGGCACCACTCTAGGGGCTCTGAACACCCCTGCAGGCACAGGTCCTCAGGTCAGAGCCACAGGCATCATGGTGAGTCTGCCCTATGAGTGGTGCTGGGACAGAGGGAAGGAGGTCACCTGGAGCCCCTGGTGTCTCAGGGAGCTGCCAGGAAGAGCCCCTCCTCTCTGACATCAGTGTGGCAGAGGCCAGGAGCCTCCGTCATTGCACAATGCCATAGCACCTGCACTCTGAGATTCGTGACTGTGGATTAGGTCTCACCCCTGCCAGCCCTTGTGTGAGTTCTGAGGCCCACAGGAGGACAGCATGCACTTCAGGTATCCTCTCTCCCTGGACAGAAGGATTGAGAAGCACAGAGACCCAGGCCCTACACAAGGAGTAGGATGAAGAGGAAGCCACGGCCACATCCTCCTCACCAGCAGCAAGCCAGGCAGGAGAGCCATGGGCTAGGGACACTGGTGCCTGGTGCAATGGCTGCGGCCCTGAGGAAGAAGTCTCCACCCTGGATGGGACATTGCCCAGGCCTCAGCCTCCTGCCACAGCCTCCACGATGTGAGCAGTTCCTCTGCCCCATGCTCCCACCATGAAGCAAAGCATCGCTGAAGGCCCAAGAACAGCAGGGCCAGTTCACTGTGGGCCACAGCCTCCAGACAGAAAGGCGAGCCTTTCCTGAAGCTGCCACTGCAGGCATTCAGTCAGGGGAGCAGAGAGTTGAGGACTCACTCATGTGGAGCTCTGCACACCAAGCCATACTCCTTCTTCCTTGCCTCGGACTGCTTCTGCCCCCTCTGTGTTTGTTCGATTGAGCCTCCACCTTCCACCCTCATGAAGGCCCCTCCCTGGTGCCTCTGCACCCAAGGCCCCCCATAACCCACCATCTCCACCTGCATTACCTGGGCCAGGCTGCCCTCTTCCCCAACCTGGACTCCACAATGACCCCAGGGCCTCAAGGCAAGCACAGTGATGTCACTTTCCCCTCCACCCCTCCTGTAGTGTCCCTTTCCTACAGAGCTCAAAATTCCCGCTCCTTATAGACAGACGCCTCAGTCCCCTTAGACCCCACCATGTCTGCTGTCTTTTGTCCTCACCAAGAGCCCGGACACACACTACACCCACGCACACTGTGCTCCCTTACCCTGGCCTCGCACACACTGGCACTTGCTGCAGGTTACAGACACACACGTGTGCACCTCCAGCTCTGTGTAGCCCAGGGCCTGCTCCTTCCCCGCACTCCCCAGCTTGGGGCAGAAGGCACATTCACATGCCGCGCCCCAAGCAGTGTGGTTCCACGTTCTAGTGAGACACCCAGACGAGGCCTGGAGCACGGGCCTGGGGCACCAGGAGGCTGACCAGCTGCACCCCGCTGCTTTGGTCTGCCCACCACCTCCCTTCCACCTGGAGATGATACAGCAAGCCCGGAGGCCTGATCCAACGTGTGGCCATAGCAGGGACAGAAGCTTGAAATCAGTGTCCTAGAAAACCCAGCCCATCTGGTAAGAGCTTTTTAAAATTAAGATATAATTTATAGGCCGTAAAGTTCGCCCTTCCAAAGCACACCGTTTGGTGGGTCTTTGTACATTTACAGGGCTGTGCAACCACTATGCCACCCAGTGCCAGGACATTCCACCCCCAGAAAATGGTGCCTCTTAGCAACCACGCCGTCCGCTCCCTCCCAGACCTCCGTCTCCCTGGATTTGCCTGTGCCTCATATGCAAGGAGTGACACAGCACGTGGCCACAGCATGTGGTTCCTTCAACCTGCCTTGTCTTTAAGGTGCAGCCAGGTACAGCATGAATCCTTCCTTCCTTCCTTTCCGTGGCCAAATAATACTCCATTGTGTGAAGACGCTGTGTTCTATCACATGTCCATCAGTGGATGGGCACTGGGAAAAGCGCGGCTGCTGCTGCTGCTGCACTGACCCAAGAGGGCACCCCCAGGGATGTGCCACCGGCCAGCAACACGGTGGGATTTAAGGAGAGGTTCTCAGAGGCAGGGGAGGGGAGAGCCCATGCTGGGGTGTCAGACTCACCTCCAGAAGTGGTAGAAGAGCAGCGGCATGTTCAGCCCGAGCGTGAGCCACTGCTGTGCGCACAGGAACATGACGCAGAAGAGGCTGTGGATGGAGTACTCGGGCAGCACCAGCTGGGGAGAGCAGAACACAGCCATGGCAGCACAGCCGCGGGGGCCCAGGAGGGTGCAGGGAGGGAGAGGCCTTGGGCACAGGGCAGGCAGGCGGGACCGGGCAGGACAGCGGCATGCGGAGGCTGAGTGGGAGACACTGCAGTGTGGCAGGGGCAGGAGCCACCCAGGGTGGAGCGTGTGTCCTTGTGCAGCGCCTGTGTTCACGTGGAGCCAGTCGTGGTACACACGAGGGCTACAACCCCGGGCCTCACCACCAGGGAGCCACAGAGGGAAAGTAGCAGGAAGAGGCCACGTCTGTATCACACCCCTGCGGGCTTTCTTCCTGTCGGACGGCAGCCTCACAACTCTTCACTCTGTGTATCCACCGCATTGGACAGTGCATGAGATCTAGCAAGGACTTGCTGTAGAACGGAGGATGTGCGTGTGCAGGCACAAATGCTGGGGCTTTCTTTCAGGGACTTGTGCCCTGTGTGTCCACTGGGTCCTGGATCTGTCCTCATAGACACGAGGCACAGCTGCACTGCATGTCACGTCCACACACATAGGCACGGGTGTGTGGAAACACAACCTCCATGTGCCGATCAGGCCGCCATGCCCACTTGGTGCCTCCGCAAGGTCAAGCCACCATCAGCCCCATCCCAGCCTCCTCCTTCCCACCCTGTCTGCCAGGTCTCGGGTCTCAGAACTCCATGTGGGCCCCAGGTGTGGCCAACCACAAAAAAGGGACTGATGCAACTCAGGGCTGAAGCCTGCGTCCCAGGTAGAGGTCCCCCTGTACCCTACTTTCTAATCAGGCCCCAATCAACCCTAGGGCCAGCCCTTCCTGCTGCCTCTCTCAGCTGCTTTCAGGCAGCATCCCACACTGGGATTTCAAAGCTCTGCCGTGTCCCCACACTCGGGAGGAGGAGAGAAGAAAGTGTCCTCCCCTCTAGTCAACTTCTCCCACCACAGGCCACAATATGGACATTCAACATGCCCACTCCTTTTCTCCCTTCCTGAGCCCAAGGGTGCAGGTATGGGAATCATGCTGAGAACCGAGGGAGCGACGGTGAGGGAGGGCAGAGGCGGGCAGGTTCCAGAGGCAGAGGGCAAAGGCCCAGGTTCCAGGAGCAGGTGGAGGAGCTGAAGGTCCCCGGGCCGGCAGCCCAGAGCAAGTGTTTATGCCCAGCACTTTCCCCAGCAGGGGGACCCTGCATAGAGTCCCTTGATAGAGCAGACCGAGGAGCTAAGGCCACAGGACGCAGCAGGATGGGAGCCAGAAACTGCTGTGGGCCAGGGCAGGTGTCCTGCAGGAGGGGGCGTAGAGGGACACAGGCCACTTCTGGGGGCCTCAGCAACACCTCTCACAGAGGCCTGTGACACAGTCACTTTCTTTCTGTCCTGCAGACAGAAATGCTGCCAGGAGGAACCCCTTCCTGCTGAGGACAGTCTGCTGATTTCACCTGGCCCGAAAGGCGGAGGTGGGGCTCATCCTTCTGGTCCGGGTTGTAGAGCAACCACAGGTGGCAACCACTGGGACACAGCCTCTCACCCAGGCCTGGCACCTGGCTCCTGCTTGCCACTGCATACCAGGCTGCCCTGGATTCCCTACGAACCTGCTGTCCTCAGGAGGGGCTTGTGTCAGCCCTACACCGCTCCTTCCAGGGCTCTTGGCTTCTCTCCCACCAATGACAAGGCAGGCTCAGCCTGGGACCACCCTTCCAAGGGGTGCTAATTACCCACTCCCTTCTGCAAGGTGGGAAAATCCTCAAAACAAGCAGAAGAGGGCAAGCTGGCTGTGAGAGGAGGCAGCTGGGCAGAGAGCACAGTCAGCATCGCCAACCAGCGTTACCATGCCCTGGTGCTTTTCCAGTGGGAAATGGTGACGCTGGGTCACGGGCAACCGCAGCCCTGCCCAGTACGCAGCGCTCTGGACCTGCACATCACACATGCATCGCTCAAGGTCTGGCGGAGGAGCCTGAGCCAGCGAATCGCCACTTAGACTAAAACCAAGGCACATAAGCAACTTTCCCTCCTGCGAAGGTGTGAGTGGTGCTGTCTGGGTAGAAACAGCTTTGATTAAGGAGCGAATCTGTGACCAAGGTCACCTGACTGCAGCGGCTCCACTCCCAGTCTGTGATGGGGACCCAAGCATCGCATCTGTCCCAGGGGGAAGGAGTGGTCTGGGAGCTCACCTTATAAGCAGTGAGGGTCTCTGTGGCCTGCTTGACCCCCACAGTCCTTGTCCATCTAAAAGTCCCACATGTTCTAGGGAGAGTGGCCATATGTCCCTGTGGGAGTCACACTGATGAGTCTTCCTCACCCGGCCAGCCCAGGCTCAGAGCTTGCACCGCTCTTCTCTGCCTCACTCCTGTCTTGCCCCAGAAAGCCAGAGTCCAGGGGAATCGATCATCCCAAGAGTCCAGTCGCTGTCCTGCAGCAGCACACATGGTTTGTCCCTGAGCCCCCACGAGGTCAGTCCCCACCATCCTGTGCTAAAAGGCCAGAGACGGTGCCAAGCGCCACAGTCAGAGCAGGCTGTGGGGAGGGCTCCCCAGCTGCTGTGGTCCCTCCCTCTCCTGCCTCTCCTCTTCTTGCCTCTCCCCCGCCCCCGCCCCTTCTCCTCCTGCCTCTCCCTTGGCCTCAGCCCCTCCTCCTCGATGGACCTCCACCCTCCAGCCCTTCCCACCAGGTAGATAAATCAGGTAAATAAATCAGGTAGCAGCACCTTGGCCTGACCCTCCTGACTTCTGGCACCATCCTAAGCCCCTAGACAGCTCGAAGCTTAACCCATTCATTCCAGGAGTCCTGAACTGTTATCCAGAGAGCTGCCCCCGCCATTTGTGTTCACTTCAAACTCCCCTTAGGCTGGCATCTCCCCACTCTCTGTGTCGCAGACCAGGGAAAGGTCACATGCAAACTGGAAGCGCCAAGCTCGAGGTGCCCAAGCCCGAGGCCAGGACTTCACACTGTTGAGGGGCCAGGGAGAGTTCTCCCCATATCCTGGGAGCCACGCAAGGGGCCTGTGAGGCAGTGGTGACAGTGACATCCCCACCCAGTGCCTAGAGCAGCACCATATGGTCCCAGGAGTCCCGGCAATGCCATAGGAGACCCACAGCTGTGACCCACACTGATGGCACAGGGGACAAGGGCAGGGATACCGGGACAGCTGCCCCAGGCCGCTCAGCTGGGACAGCCACTGCCCGGTGGCTCCAGCAGCAGGTGTGGGGCACGGAGATGGACACAGCACATGCACTGTGATGAGTTCTGGCTTAAACCTCCATAGGTGGGGCAGGGGTGCCCCAGTGTGTGCGTGGCGCTGTGCAGAGCTCAGAACCAGCTCAGCGGGGAGAGTGGTACAGCAGGGCGCGTGGGGCACGGCCAGCCTTCCAGAGGGCTGAGGTTCTGCGGTCCTCCAGAGACCTGTCACAGTGGGCACTACAGGGTCACACATCTCGGTGGACAACCTGGCAGAATGGCAGCCTTGGCTGAAGCTCTCAGAGCTGTCACCAGTTACCAGAGCAACCCAGGAAGTTTCTGGGAGAGCTGAAATGTTCTATTTTAAAAACAGCCAGTTGATGGTCAAAGAGCCATATATTAGGAACCAAATAATAAAGTACACATGAAAACTCTTGCCAAGATGAGCATTTTCCCAAAGTGGAAATAATTCAGTCTACAAGGAATATTTTGACCCTGGAAGCAAAAAGATTTCCACTGCGTCCCTGAGGTCTGATTACCTCCTGTCCCTGCCCAAACACTGGCATCGAAGGTGGGCCCTTTCCCCTCGAGTTTCCGCAAACTGCTGCACTGCAGGCTCCTGCAGCCCTGCCAACCACACACACTCATGCACACACACGGCACACACCAAGCGTGAGACATCCCACCTGGACCTGAAAGAGGGGGCTTAATGACACTGCCTCACCTCTGGGAAGAGGACAGTCCAGGAAGAGATGGGAGAGACACGGATACCATGACACAAGACCACTGATGTGACTTCAGGGTCCCAGGAGTCACGGGTCCCAAACCTGCAGCCCATGTGAACCCTGAAGCGGATCACGACAAAACAGTACACTTACAAGCCACTCGGGGTGTCTGCATGGCTGTGGGCATAGCGCTAGGGGACTGCGGGGGCTGAGGCTGAGAAGGGCGTCCTCCCCGCTGCACCAGCCCTCGAGACTCCACGTGAGGGCCACGTGGGCCATGTGGCCCGGTGCATGGCTGCTGCCTGGCTGGGCCAGGTTCAGGCTGGTGCAGCAGGGTCTCAGCCAGGGTGAGGCCGCCAAGGTACAGCAGGCCGGAAGGACACTGAGTCCCGGGGGACCCCCAGAGTGGCCAAGCAGAATGAGTCAGGAGAATCCTGATGAGTGGTTCAGTAGGAAGGAAACTACTGATTTAAGGGGTAGAAAGATGAAAGGTCTATATTAGTAGCAGCAGAAATGAGGAGGGAAGAGATGAAGAAACATTGTTTCATATGTTCAAATACTGCTTTGTCTCAAAACCAGCTGTAGGTGGCTCACAATGTGCTGCTAATTAAGCATGACATTTGCTTCATACAGCTATATTTAGAGTACCTAAAATCACGTTGAATGCATTTGTGTTTTAAAACACTTTTCTCTGGTTTGTTCTGCTTCCTATGCCAGAGAAGACACGATTTACAGATCCTCATCTGTACAGGGCCTGGTGTGCTGGAGCCACACCGACGGCAGGGCGGCGAGGTTGAGGAAGGACAAATACATGACCAGGACATCAGCCCACGGGGCGACGGTGGAGGCCCAGTCCAGGGGAGGACTGGAGGACGCCCACAGAGGCAGACACAGCATGACCTGTGGGCAGGAACGAGAACACTCCAGGGCACAACCGAGGCCAGAAATCAGAGCCCCACTCGGCACAACCCTGGCCCTCGGCAAATGACGGGCAGACCACTGAAGTGTCTGAGAGGAAGCAGATGTCAGGAAGACTGAAAGATCCAAGAGGTAGGGCTGGCCAAAGAGCTCAGTGGATTAAAGCGCCTGCAAGCAGGC